GGATGGATGGATGGATGGATGGATGGATGGATGGATGGATGGATGCATGGATGCATGCATGCATGCATGCATGCATGCATGCATGCATGCATGCATGCATGCATGCATGCACGCATGCATGTATGTACGTATGCATGGATGGATGGATAGATGGATGGATGGATGGATGAATGTATGTATGGATGGATGGATGTATGCATGTATGTATGTATGCATACCAGATACATATACACGAATGAAAAAAGATGGAAACAGCACAACATAAACCCCAAGGCCCTCAACCGCTGATCAAAACCCTTCTGGAACCCTGAAAGGAATCCTGAACAGAAAGAAGGACCCCTCTAACGGAGCTCTACACCCTAAAAAGCCCCAGCTCCAAAGCCCTAAACGCCTGCCCCCAAAACCCCGAACCTAAACCCTAAACCCAAACCCGAAACCCTAGACCCGAAACCCTGAGCCCCGAAACCCTAAACCTCATCTCCCCCAAAAAAAGGACACCAAAAAGCGGCAGCCTTGGGGGCGGCCTTGATTTCCTCCGGCGTCTTGGGGTTCTTGGTGTACCGCAACCTGTGGAGTGTGGGGGGTTTGGAGTTTTGTGTCGGATTGGGGGGGTTAAGGGGTTCGGGTGTAGTGTTTAGGGTTCAGGGTTGGGGTTCAGGGTTTTCTTTGTTTTTGGGTTTGGGAGTTGATGAGGGTTCAGGGCCTGAGGCGTAGGGTTTTGTGTTCAGGGCTTAGCGTTTAGGGTTCAGGCTTTGGTGCTTTGGGTCTACGGTCTTGGCTTCGGGTTTTGCGGCTTCTTGTTGTCGGTGTCCAGGATCCGAAGTTTTTGTTGTGAGCGATCTTCATAAAGGGTCGAGGATGTGGGTTTGTCAGAGGTCTGTGCGGAGTTCTACAAACTGGGATTTAAATGTCTGTCGAACTCCCACCTCGCTGCGGCTTCCGTTTGGATCTTGGGGCTTTGTATGTCAAGCGTCCCGAAAGGTAGAGCCTGGGGTACAGTATGTGCATTCCTGTATACGGCCTCGGGTTCTGCACTTTAGCTTCTTTGCCACTGAGGAGCCTGGTGGCTTCAGAACTATGAGGTGCAAGGGTCACAGGGTTGCTATATTTGGGGGCTCCGGAACAGTAAGCCCCAAACCCCCAAAACCTCAACCGCACGCCAGGCAGAATGCCGCTGTCCAAGGGCCAGAGAGCCTAGAGGCTTCATGGAGCTTGTGCCTAGACCGATCCTTCATATGAAGACTCCGACAAGACTAAGGTGACTCTGGTATCCCTTGTTTAAGATACCCCTACACCCTTTTTTCAATTCGCGCGAAGCACAGGTCTCGTCTGGGCAGTACTCCTGCCTCAGCAAGCTGGCTACCACCCGCGCGGCCCTACACCCTAAAACCAAGCACCAGAACACCACGGAATTACAAGGATCTTCCCCTAAACCCCAGACCATAGGTGTATTGACTAAGTACTGTTGCACAGACTGGTGAGCCGAGGCATCTGTTGAATTGTTCCTCCATATGTGTATATATATATATATATATATGCATATACATATGTGTATATATTTACTTGCCGATTCATTTATTGGTTAGTTTATACACATTTATTTATTTGTTTGTTTATTCATTTATCTATGTGTGTATCGATTTATGTATTTGCTCACTTGTTTGTATTTGTTTAGCGTGTTATATATATATATATACATGTGTGGTGTACCCCTGTACTTGTTGCGTATTACCCGGTCTGCCGAGTAGGCCCAGCATCAGCAAGCTCAGTCCTGGTGCGCGAGGGCAAACTCCAACCCAGCTACGATGGCCGCGGCCTGAGCCAAGATAGCCAGTTGTGGTTCAGGGTTGGGGCTTTGGCATTTCAAAGCGAAAACAAGCCTGAAGCCCTAAACCCTAAACCCTAAACCCTAAACCCTAAACTCCTAGTCCTTTACTCGGAATCCCTGACAGAAGCTCATCTGGTCTTTCTTGGACATCTCGTCGAAAGGCGAAGCAGGCCTGGGCTCGGTTGCACTCCTCGCGGCTTGTCCTTTGCGAGTCCGGGTAGACCTGCTGGATTCGGGTTTTGGGAGTTTGGGATGTGCAGGTTAAGGGTTTAAGGGTATGGGGTTTAGGGTTTCGAACTGTTGAGCCTAAGTCGTAGCGTTTAGTCCCGAACCCCAAAACTAAATGAAGAGCATCCACCTCCGTGGTGGTCACGTACATAGCATCAGTGTGTGCATCGGCCGTACCCTCACCTGGGGCCAGCAGAACCCCAGGTGCAGCGATGGGTTCGCCCACGATCTTCCCGCGGTCATCGGCCGCTGCGATGTGCGTAACCTGCCCGGACACTCCAAGATCTGTTAATTCAGAAGTCCATTGAACTTTTCATACACTTCTTAGTGCTTCTTGAACTATAAGAAGCCATACAGAAAACCTTGCCAGGAAGCCTTTACGGTTACGATGATTTTCCCAACCCCTAAGCTCTAAACGCTAAACCGAAGCTTCAGCAATCAGCCATGAGACTTCTGGACTCTTTGGCCTGACGGATTTTTGTTGACGCTTGGGGGATATAGGGGCCTCAATGGAAAAGTTTAATGGTATACTGATAAACTCTTGGGGCTTTAAGAAGTAGTAAGCGGGGGGGGCGCACTTTAGAGGAGTCTATCTGGGGATTTTAACCCTAAACCCTAAACCCTAAACCCTAAACCCTAAACCGAGTATTCTGACTTCCAACAAACCTGTGGAGCGTTCCTTGATAAATTCCGTACGTTCTGCACCAGGCGAGGAACCTTCAACCTCAAAAACCCTTGGGTTTAGGGTTTAGGGTTTAGGGTTTAGGGTTTAGGGTTTAGGGTTTAGGGTTTAGGGTAACCCGTAAGGGAACCCCTTCAACGAGCCCTCAGAAGATCGCTCACAGGACCCCTGTAAAGGAACGCTTCAAGTCGCCCTGAAAGGAACCTTCAAAGGATTCCCTAAAGAATCCCTCAAAGGACCCCGTAAAATGAAGGAGCCCTTCAAGGAACCTTCAAAGGATTCCATAAAGAAACCCTCAAAGGACCCCGTAAAATAAAGGAGCCCTTCAAGGAACTCTTGGAAGGCCTTCTCCACAGCCGCGATGATGTGCTTTGAAAACTCGAGCTGGTCTTTCTCACGCGCCGAATCCCCATAGATGTAGAATCCATCGGGGATGTCGTACCTACAAGCGTCAGAAGCGTTAGAGCTGTCACCCTCAAAAAAAGGTTGAAGCCTAAACCCAAGCCCTGATCTCTGAACCCGGTCCAATGTCCTCCAAGCGGCCACTCCTCGTACTTGTCTTCGGTGAGGCCATCGCGCGCAAAGCGAGCTGGGGTGAACTCGGTGTTGTCTGTGTCCGTGGTCTCATGAAGATCCATGTGAAGGAGGAGGAACTTCGACCTTGCGCGATGCTCTGCAATGCATTTCATTGCTAGCGTCGCCTCCTGGCAGGGGGAAGTCCGAGTGTCTAACCCCCTCTTTAGCGGTTGGGACTTAGGGCTGATAGGGTTCAGGGGTAAAGCTTAGGGTTTGGTGCTTACATTTTTTCAAGGTTTAGGGCTTAGGGTCTAGTTTCACAGTTAGCGATAAGTAGGATTATCCATACCCGAATGAGCCGGACAAGAGTTGCAGGCATGCTGTGTTCAGGTGCTCTTTGGACTGAGCAAGTAGGATCAGCTAGGGTGGACCGAGGACATTGTTCTTCGAGTTAAGGAGGATCGTAAGTCGACCTTCTAAGGTCACAGGAGCCCTCAAATACACCCAGAAACCCTCAAACCAGGCGAGTGACACGCGACAAGTTGAGCAGTCAGCGAATGCGTTGGTGGTAGGAGTAGGAAACCATTTATATGTGAGAATACTGGTGCTGTTGTACAAGGCCACTAGTAACGATACTATGGAAGAGCACGCGGCCGCCTGTGTATGTGTGCATGTGCGTTATGCAATTATGCACATACATTACATTACATCACAACCGGTTTTCTTAAGTACATCACGTTACAGCACAGTGCAGTACACTACATACACAGAACCGAAGCGTTAAACCCTGAACCTGCATGTCTCTCGCTGTCTCTCTCTCTCTCGCTCTCTCCCTCTCTTCTCTCTCCCTCTCTCCCTAGGGGACGTGTAGAGTCCCCTGGCCTTGTGGCCCCCCATGCGTTATGGGGCTTTGGGGGAGAAAGTAGAGCTTGGGCCCTCTCTCTCTCTCTCTCTCTCTCTCTCTCTCTTCTCTCTCTTCCATACATATATATATATATATGTATATTGTGTATATATGTATATATATATATGTATACCTACACCCAAACCTCCGCACCCATGCACGCAAGGTGTTTCTGCTCCTCGCTTTGCCCATCGGGTTTGAAGGCCCTGTTCGGATCCACCGCTCTTGGCGTCCAGCGCTCGCCTGGGGATCGACGCAGTTCGGGCATTATTTCGATTTAGGATTGAGGGTTTAGTGTCGCATGTAGGGTTTAAGGGTCCAACGCTTAGGGTTTGGGGGTTTAAGCGTTTAAGTCCAGGTTCCCTGGCATCCCCTGAACAGCAAGGGGTGCCCGTTTTCCCTGTTGCTCAACCCTACAGACCGCACCGAAGCACAGCATAAATCGTCGGGGATCTTAGGCCGAAAGTGAATCAAAGGTACTCGTACTGAGCGTGAGTTCGAACTGTTCTTGAGGTGCGGATGATTGGATGTCTTGTTCGAGTCCGTGTTAGGCCCTCCGTTGCATGTTAAAGCATCAAACTAAATGTCGTCCTATATAGTCCTGACCCAAACAACAACCACGACAACAACAGCTTACAAGACACCAAATTCCTATCACACCCTCAGGACATGACCCTGCTCTGCCCTGAAACCCCAGCATCTTCTGATACTACAGAACTGCCAACTTCGGCATTACAGACTCAATGCCCCTGAGTCGGGATACCTGTCATAGTTTCTGTCATAGAGTATACTGAGTTCTCGCAAGTCGCGGTTTTGGAATAGACAAGCGACAGACAAATACCCCCATGAGCCCTTTAGCCCGCAACATGACCTTTGTAAACCCTACACCTACGCCCTGAACGAAACCCTCAACCTGTTCAGAATACTCACGTTCATCAATCATGCAGTGTTAAAGATGATACGTGTCAATCTCTTCTTTATGGTTGACCCTGTCAGAATATCAATGCTAATGCGGTAAAAATAGTTGTAGATGTTACAAATTTAGTAATAACAGTAGTAATGATCGTAATAATAACAATAATAACAATAGTACTAGTAACAATAGTACGAAGAACAAGAAGAATAAGACTTTAAAAAAATATGTATCATGACTACTCGTAATCATAACAGTAATAATAGTAATAGTAATAATCTCTAGTAACCATAATAGTAATAGTAGTAGTAGTAGTAATCATCTAATGTGGGCATACTGACCATGGTCCCTAAACCCTAAACCCTAAACCCTAAACCCTAAACCCTAAACCCTAAACCCTAGCTTACAGGTTCGGCTGGTGCAGCAGAGCCGCACATCTCCAAGCCCCAGGGTGCCACGCAGGGCAGGAGCAGGAGATTCACGGATTTCCTGAGCTCTTTGAAGCTCTACAGGCCCCCTAGACCCTAAAACCCTAAGCCCTTAGGACCTAAGGCCCTAAACCCTAAACCCTAAACCCTAAACCCTAGACCCTAAAACCCAAAGCCCTTAGGACCTAAGGCCCTAAACCCTCAACCCTCAACCCAAAGGGCCTAAATCCTGAAGGCCCCATCGGCCCCTAAACCTCGGCCCCTAGACCTTAAACCCTGAAGCCATAAACCCCAAGGCCGTAAAGCAACCTGTCCGGGCTTCAGAAAAGCGGGTGCCCAAGACAGATATCATGTTTGATCCTGTGAAAGACCCACAGCCCCATAAAAGGCTGTGAAACCCGCGTAAGCTTCCCCAAAAAAGCCTCATGAAACGCTCAAAATGATTGCCGTCTTTAAAAACATAATTTCCTGGTACACCCCACACCCCTGAACCCCAAAGCCCCTAAACCCGAAACCCCAACGCCTTAAATCCAGTTAAAGCCCCACACCCCCTGACCCCAGCCCCTTAAACCCAAAGCCCTAAACTCCCTGAAGCCTAAACCCTAAACCCTGAACCCTAAGCCCTCAATTCTTGAACCCAGCTTCTGGGCGACGAAGGCTTGGAAGTGCTGTGCAATGAAGTCTATGGCACCCAGGCTTCCAAGCTCGTAGCCTCAGGGCTCTTAGGATTCATCAGATGTCCTTTAAGCGCTCCTTTGTCGCTTTAGGGTCGAGGGTTTCCTTTAAGCGCTCCTTTAAAGCTTTAGGCTTGAGGGTTTCCTTTAAGGGCTCCTTTAAAACTTTAGGCTTTAGGGCTTCCTTTACGGGCTCCTTGAAGGCTTTAGGCTTTAGGGTTTCCTTAGAGGGCTCCTTTCAGGGTTTAAGGTTGAGGGTTTCCCTTGAGGGCTCCTTTAAGGGCTTAGGGTTTAAGTAGGGACTAAAACCTGAAGGAAGTGGAAGTCCTTAGACACTAAGCCCTCGCGGCTCTCGCTTTGGGGTTTGCGTGGAGTTTAGGATTTCGGGTCGTGTTGAGCGTTCGGCCTCATCGGCTCGGATCGTGGGCTTCGGGCTATCAACCCTAAATATCAAAACGCTGGGGATTTTGGGTTGTTTAGCTTCCAAAACCCTAAACCCTAAACCCTAAACCCTAAAACCCAAGCAAGCGGCCATGTACCCCGCCAGTGATCACGGCCATCGGCAGCGTCGCATCCCAGGCCGCCGAGCGAAAAGCGAAGAGCGGGAAGAGGGCCGATCCTCCGAGCTCACTTAAAGGATCATGAGACTTAGGAAGTAGGGTTATAACTAAGGTGACTATACTTATCACCCCAATTAGGGGACTTATAACCTAGCTTACTAAGTCCCATGATCCTCCGAGCTAGCAAGGGGGTGTTATGGTTTAGGGTTTAGGGCCTAGGGCTTAGGATCTAGGGTTTGGGGTTTAGTAATATTGTGGTTTAAGAGTTTAGGGTTTAGGGCTTAGGGTTTAGGGTTTAGGGCTTAGGGTTTAGGGTTTAGGGCCTAGGGCTTAGGGTTTAGGATCTAGGGTTTGGGGTTTAGTGGTTAACAGAGCAGAAGCCTCAACTTAGCAGCCCACCAGAAAGTAAGGGAACTCCTAAAAACCCTAAGCCCTAAACCCCAAATTCTAAACCCCAAAACCCTAAAACCCAAAAACCCCCTAAACCCTAAACCCTAAACCCTAAACCCGAATTTTCCGGAAACCCTCAAGTCGTGGCGAAGCGCCTTGAGGTCGGTAGTCGATCGCCCCGTACTCCACCAGCTCTCCGCCGACCGCCTCCGAATTAGAATAGGGTTCCTTTAAGGGGATCCTTAAAGGGTTCTATATGGGATCTGATAGGGCTCTATATTGCGGGCCTTAATAATTAGAATCGGGTTTTGGGGTGTATTATACTATAAGTAACATAAGGAACCCCCAAAATAGCATATTGGTCATTATTAACGCCCCTGTATTATCTAGGGTTTTCGGTTTAAAGTTTCTGAACAAAAACATGGCCTCATACCGGGTGCTCCTATCGCCTTGCTGGGGTTCTAAGGGGTATTGGTGCGGTCTTAATCAGGGCTTTTGCTACGGCTCTTCAGACGATCACCCAGGGCTCGTCCTCTTGTGATATGATGACGGAGGCCATGGCTATGATTAGTGCACTATTTCCCGAAGCGCGGTTATTACCGTTCGTCCTCTTCTGAAATGCATGATGATGATGATGATGACGATGATGATGATGATGAGGAGGAAGAGAAAGATGGGCAATGCACTATTACCCGCAGTGTAGTTATGACCATTCTTATGGCGTGGATGCTACCATGCCAATAAACTCTTTCTTTTATTCTGACGTGTGCTAGAAGTGACATGAACGAAACCGATGCTAATTGAAAAGTTCGTAAAATTTAAACTCAAGCACCCTAGGACAGCCCAGGAGACGACGATGTTTACAAGATGGACCTCAGCAGGCTCAATCTCAAGAAGCCCGAAACCTATAAAACCCTCCAAAACCTTACAAGCCTTTCGCAACCTTCGAAAAACCTGAAAGAATTCCTGTAAACAAGCACTGTATAAACCCCCTAAACCCTAAACACTAAACACTAAACCAAAAAAAACACACACAAAGGCCGGCCTGGGGGATGCGGTGCAGGGGAGACACGATGGTCTCGAAGTAGTCGCAAACACCTGGGCTCTTTCCGGGATTTTTGGTTTTAAGGCTCCTTACATAACCGTACCCCCCCCCCCCC